GCTCGACCGGTCTTCTTGACTCTGTCTTGACACCGGGCTCAGGTTGGGTAGGAGGAGAGAGTGTAGGTAGATGCAGCGCAAGTCTACTGGCCCTACAAACCCCGCGCAAGTGACCGTCCCTGCTCCCACAACCTGCTGTGGGGCATACGGTGGACATCGTCGGATGCGACAGTCGAACTGTCGTGTGTGTGTTTGTGTGTGTGGGTGGGATGTAGGGGTGTCCACCGGTGGGTTCAAGTGACGGTCGTAGTGGTCGCTCACTTGCTTGCAGGTGCAGAATACGCCTAGCATCCATTTGCTGACACCCAACTCTCACATGTGGCTCCACGTGGCCAGGCTCTACCCAGCAGCCACACCCCCGGCAATCGCCTCAACCGGCGATGTAAACCAAGTGAGGGCGGGTACTCCGTGTGCGCGTTGTGCCCCGCGCACAGGGTATTGCTGACTCCGCTGGACGGTTGGTCGGATGGAACTCCGCGTCGGCACCGTCGTGACGAGGCTCCGTCGCGTACGCCGCTGGTCAGCCGGTCGGCTGGAACTTCGCATCGGCATTGTCAAAACGCGCCCATCTATTGCACCGCAGGAGACCGCGGGCTTACGGCGTTGTCGTAAGCTTGGCAAATTCGAGTTGTTCTTCCACTACAACAAAAGTCTTTGCCCATAGCGGAGCTCGGCCGCGCCGGCACATAAAGGCAGCCGTATTCAGGATGGCACTGCCTGCCTTCGGGGGGCCTAGACAATGTGGCCTAAAGATGCTGGAGAACCACGTCGTCTGCAGGCTGACCGTGGTCGCAGACGTTAAACTCACGGTCGAAACAACCAAAATCGAAACAACAACAACAGCAACAGTACTATCTCTCTTCCTCACTCTGCCTCTTCTTCCTCTTCCTCTCCCTATTCTACTGCTTCTTCCTCTCCTTCATCATCTTCTTCTCCCCCTCCTCCTTTCCGCCGCCCAAACCGCCAGACTGGTAGGGTGAGTCCGCTCACTCTAGCAGTCTGGAATGTTCGCTCCCTTTTAGACAATCCGAGGAGCAACCGACTGGAACGGCGGACGGCGCTAGTGACTCGAGAACTGGCGCGCTATAAGGTTGTCATCGCCGCATCCATCGAGACCCGGTTTTCCGAACAAGGCCAACTGGAGGAGGTGGGTGCCGACTACGCCTTCTTCTGGAGTGGTCGATCCAGGACAGAGCGACGTGACGCGGGTGCCGCCTTCGCCATCCGGAACGACATCGTAGGACGACTGTCCTGTTTGCCGCCGGGCATCCACGATCGCCTGATGAGCCTCCGCCTGCCTCTCTGGGGAGGCAAATTCGTCACCATCATCAGCGTCTACGCTCCGTCGATTACCAGCCTCGACGCCGCAAGAGACAAATTCTACGAGGACCTGCATGCCCTCTTGGCGACTGTGTCGAAGGCGGACAAGTTGATTGTCCTTGGCGACTTCAACGTCCGCGTCGGCACAGACCATGCTGCCTGGAGGGGTGTGGTAGGCCCCCATGGTCTCCGCGGCTCAAACGGCAATGGTCTGCTGCTTCTCCGCACCTGCGCAGAACACCGCCTCATCCTGACGAACACGTTCTTCTGTCTGCCGGAGCGAGAGAGGGCCACCTGGATGCATCCTCGGTCACGTCAGTGGCACCTACTGGACTATGTCCTCGTCCGGAGGCGAGATCAGCGGGACGTGCTGGTGACAAAGGCGATCGCGGGTGCTGACGGGTGGACCGACCATCGTCTCGTCATCTCCAAGATGCGTATTCGCCTACAGCCTCACAGGAGACCACAAGGTAAGCGACCCCCAGATAATCTGAATATTGCCTTGTTGTCTTTGCCCGCTCACCATCTTCATTTCAACAATGAGCTAGCTCAACGGCTAGACAACCTTCCAATTGCTGCCGCCGCCGCCGCCGATGATGGGAACGCCTCCGTGGAGAACCGATGGTGTCAAATGCGAGCACGGTCTAGACGACGGCGCTGGCCGTCCTCGGTCGCGCACGCCTTCAGCATCAAGACTGGTTCGACGACAACGACACCGCCATCAGCAACCTACTCGCCCAGAGGAACCGTCTGCACAAAGCATACGAAGACCACCCCACTGACGTTAACAGAACTGCTTTCTTTGGCAGTCGCCGCCTCCTGCAACAGCGACTGTGCGAGATGCAGGACGCCTGGACTGCTCGCAAGACTGAGGAGATCCAAGGGTACGCGGATCGTAACGAATGGAAGAACATCTTCTCCGCGATCAAAGCCGTCTACGGTCCGCCGACCAAAAGCACTGCTCCTCTCCTCAGCGCCGACGGCAGTACCCTCCTGACTGAGAAGACCCAAATCCTACCTCGATGGGCCGAGCACTTCCGAGGCGTCCTCAACCGCCCCTCCACCAACGAACCCCTTATCGGCCGCCTGTGTGATCCACATTTCGCAAAACGTGACTCCTTAAGTAATATGCATTTTCCATCCAATTTTAATTTGTGCGGAGATAAACTGGCTCCTGGCTTATGCACATGTTGAATAGATTATAAATCAACAGATCAACTGGAGAGACAAACATCACATGAACTAGCTGGCCTATCGCATTAAATATGCTTTCGATTACAGACGATAGCTTCGGTGGGGTTGTAATAATTATCCTATAGCTTACTCTTCAGATGTTTCATTCCCACCGAGATACCAGCTTCCGGATAAGCTTCATTATGGCAGGCCACAAAACCCATGCTAGGCAAAATACGACTGGATGAGATGTATGAATTTTGTCGCTAATTTTCGATGCCGTTATATATTAAACTATACTTTTTTGAAAAACGCACGAAAATATCCTTTCTTGTACACATTTGGTAGCAACTTACATCTTCTTCAAACTTCATGCTTCATGAAGTGGCATCTTTCGGTTCTAGCAAGCTCGCGAATGTGGAATCTTTATAATCATGAATTGTCCAGTCATGGAGCATCGTATTTGTCCGTTTATTGGCGCCACCTTTGAAGTATGCAACATGATTCACATCCGTTGCAAAATTTTATGAGCCCAATATGATGCTTTCTTGATAACCTCTGAAGTCTTCCTAAAAGCGTATGGAACTGTTGCCTTTTAATTTCCTCAGAAATTAAATCAGTAGATCAGTATATTCTGGGTCTACAGGCTCAGACCGAAATTTTTATTTATGAATATCTGGGCCGAAGTCCATCAGCCACGGCGGGTAATTAACTGCCGGCAGGCAGCTAGTAGTATGCTTTAGGGCAAGAGGATACCTGAGCCTGTATACATAGAATATACTGATCTACTCCAAGTTCGCAGTTACTCTCTAAGGAGATTAAAAAGAAACAGTTTCGAAATTGGAATATCAACCAGAAAGCAGACGGGGAATACTGGGGGACCCACTCATGAGCCGAACCCCTTGCAGAGGCAGAATATCGGCGAAACACGCATGTATAGGCTTTTGAGTAGTACCTGTGCGGTTAGTATGGCATTCCCTCACAATAAAATACAGAATTGTATGATACACAATGCTAAGCCCAGGTGGGAGTGCAATTTGGGTTGAAAAGTGTTCGAGAATTGACGGTATTTTCATAATCGTAGAAAAGACAGCTTTTGGGTTTGAAAATGGTCTTTAATTTCAGAATACTTTTGAACCCAACTTTTATGTTGCACATGTGAATAGGGTTTTCAAACTTCGTGCTGCATAGTCTCCATGTGACGCGGATTATATATTCGTCGCTGCTGTTAAGAGGATATTTCATAACTCTCACAAACTCTTTTCAATAAGTGTGGACTATGTGACATGCTTTATAGGGGGTACTAGTAAACGGACAGATACGATGCCACTTAGAAGGACATTTCACGCCTTCAAAAACTGTCCAATTCGAAACTATTTTGAAGCCAAAAGATACCTTTTCTTGAAGTATTACATTTAGATAAGACACGATTTGGTGCCAAATGAGTACAGGAAGGGGTATTTTTCTGCATGTTTTCTATAAAACATATCTCAGATTATAATGACATAGAAAATCGAGGGGAAAACGCATACTACTGAAGTGGTCACCTTCAACCGAAATGAGTTTTGCAGACCGCAGGGAAGCAGTTTAATCAAAAACTGGCATCCTGGTGTAATTGAAATATCGAGGGATTAGTCAGCACGATAATCAATATTACAGCCGTACCTAGATACTTCTTTCGAATCAAAAATGTATTCCGGAATCTCGGTTAACATTTAATGAGGTCGGCCAGGTACCGTACTTCGTATAAATTGTTTGATTACGCAGTGCAAATGAGTTATACCTACCATCGAGGAGGACATTACAGTTGCCCAAACTGTCAACAGAGAACGCGTTGTTCTCCGAATCAGTCACTTCGAGCAGATTTTCCGCCTTGTCAAACGAGAATACGTAAGTGGAAATGTGTTCTTCTGCGGCGGCTCCATGCGTCATGAATACAACGCTTCCGTTGTGATGGAACTGCATTTCACTCTTCTCTCCACACTAGGGGATTGGAAACATAGTGAATTTAACGTCCGTATCCTTGAAAGCTACACTTCGATACTTGGATGCACTTCATCTAGGTTCTTTTAACATCCTTCCAGAGAAAGTTTAAGAGCTAATGAGAAGGACAGAATAAACTGGAATGGCTGTTTCTGGCATATAAGTTTTCATCAACCAGCCTTACCGAAATCCAGGTTTTGAAGTGCCCTAGGTTCGAACCCGCACTCCTTGGTGATCGCGTGTTATAAAGTCCAACATTCTACCAACTGAGCCAGGAACCCTTATACTTTCGGCTGTGATCGGGAATATTAGCTAAGGGAGGTGGGCACTCACCGATCAGGTTACGAGACCTGCTCGTTCAGCTGTGCCATGAAGCTTAATCATGCACCGTCGAAGACAGTCTCACAGCGACTAGTAGTATGTGCAGATAAGAGGCTACCGGTAGGGACAAGGGCATAATGGCCCGTAACCTGATTGGTAAGCGTCCAGTTACCATAGTTACAATCCCCAATCATAACCGCACGACAAAGAGCTAGCGGTTCAGTGATGTGAGCGTTGGACTTACTAACACTCGATAACTTCAGGAGCGTGTCAAGACCTATGTCTGGGTGAGGTTGGCTGACGATGGCCAATAAGCCAGAGATGGCAGCACCGGTCCCAACTATCCTTGCCGGTCACCCCTTATCTGCATATGCTATCAGTCGCTGTGGGAGTGTCTGCGAAGGCTCCAGATTGACGAATCGGAGCAAGCAAGTTCTGCGACCTGACCGACAAGCTCTCATTCACCATACTTGGGACAGTCTTGGATGGAACGAACGAATTATCCTAAACAGAGGCTAGGACGAAAACGTCCTAAAGTCGAATACACATGACAATGTTAGACAACTAACTACCCACTAAACGTTCCTTATCTACATGAAGGGAATGTAGCATTGGTAGAAAAACGTAGATGGAGATTCTAAATATTTGCTCTACTCTCCGATTGTTAAAATGTCTCATATTTAAAGTTTATCAATCCGGTTGCCGTCATCTATATCCCAGATATGAAACAAGTTTCCAGGTCCAGCGGCGTGGCCATCCATTCACGAAGGGTTTGTCATAATAAAGATCGACAGACAGCAAGCGTCGTGCTGGAAAAAGATGAAAGAATGTATTTTTCTAAGTATTAAAGGTAACCATTAATTCAACACTAGCGCAAAACACGCAAGTAAGCAGGCGAATACAACCCAATTTAGAGTGCGCCTACCTATCCAACGTTTACGAGGACGGCTAGGACTTCTGCAATATTGTCAAGCGTATTTCTTGCAAATTCTGGAACCTCCAGACGTCGTCATTTGCATTATGCTTACAGGAGTCTAAAAGTTATTTTATTCTCACGGCTGAAAGACATTCTTTAATTGACCTCGTGTACTACTGAATCAGAACGTCCATTGGTTGTCTGCACATATTGGGCTGCGGTAGAACAAGGTAATGCGAATCCCCCCGGTAATACAGATGGTCTTGCGCTACCTCCCAGGAAGATTAGGGTTGAGGTTAGTGTTGGAGATAGTGTTGGGCCTGGGGTTGAGGTTAGGAGGGTTCGGAATACAGTCGGGGTCATTGGGGTTAGTGTTCGGGTTGAGGTCAACGTTTGGACACAGGAGTAGGAGCCAACTATAATTTAGCGTTAGCCCACCTGCAGTGCGAAGGGATAATTATTCCAAAGTCCGAGCGGGTTAAGGTTTTGGTTAAGGTCAAGGTTGCGGTTTGGGTCAAGATTAGTGCTAGGTCTAGGGTTGGCATATGGGAATCGGTACTCATTCCTGAAATTTAGCTCAAGGCCACCTGTATTCCGGAGGGGGAGACCCTCAGTCCCGTGTAATCAGTAGGAATTCCTGTCGCCAAATTCCCTGCCACCCTATGCTTCCGCGGTCTGCTGAGAGGCTCTCGAGGATTGTCGGCTCTGTTGAGGGAGGCCGTCCCAACCGACTCAATCACGACGCGCGCACATGCTGTCCTGTCGACCCACCCACACGGCTTGAGCGTGTTGAGATCGCTCCAGCCACCGGCAGGTTTGGGGGGGGGCCGCAGCCACTCAGATAAGTCAGCAGACCAGTCCGCATGCTAACAGGTCAAAGGCATGATCTGATTGGCTCATGTGGAGGTCGCCCTTGGACATTTCTGTACTTACCCCTTATCATCAGATTTTGCCGTTTGGATCTAAGCAATTGACGCGTGCTCGTCGCCCCTTGGTATTGAGTTCTCTTTTGGGGATTCAATTGCGGGAAGTTGTAAGCCGGGCCACCAGCTAAGCGTTACGGCTAGGACGTAACAGGATCTGCATCCCATTCATGGGTAGAGTTAATGTGTGTTCACTGATTAGTCTTGCCTTTTGTGCTGGAAATTCTTCGTATTTCCTGACATCTTTATTGACCGAGTCTTACTGCGCCACCAGAATCAGAGCGTTTAACGAGTCGCCCCGCAAGCGGACGTAGTAGGTCATTGACAGCCTGTTATCCGTTAATTACACAGACCAGTTCTGATCGCGAGACGCCACATGAGCTATCTGTTTGGCTCTGAAAGGAATACCTGTGTGGCCTTGCTTATGACTTATCGTGTGTACATGTAGCGGTGACAGCTGTTAGTCAAAGCTCATAAGCTTCGAGGGAAGGAGGTGATTTTCTGACCCATGCATTTTTCAGAAATTTTGTTCTTCCACGTGATGACCCACGTAGTGTCGGCCTAACTGATTACAGCCAAAGCAAAGCAAGCTCACTTGGCGGGACTGACTTATGTGAGGGTCTAAACAGGACACGAAAATAGGAACGTTCCTCCCAAGTAATAAAAGTGGGCTTACGCATAATTCCGGAAATGGCAAAATATTCCTGTGTCCAAACCCCAACAATAACCCTAATATAAAGCTGAATCGTTGCCCTAATCTTGACCTTAACCCTTACCTCTACGGTTAACACTAGCCTCTACCTTAACACCAAGCATGACTCTGGCTTGCGCTACCGTTCACTTTAGACCTAGCCTCAAAGCTAGTGCCTAACCTAACCCTAACCTTAAACTTAATCCCGATTTCACCAGCAGTTGGCTCAGGGCCACCCGTGTTGCTGGCGGTTCCTGTTCTCATGTCCTGTCTAGACGTCCACGTATGGTAGTCCTGCCATTCACTTTTGTGGGGATCAAGTTCCTTTCGAGAAGTAAGAAGGGGTCATCGGGACGGGGTTATTGGAGTGCTGACGTTTCTGAAAGCTTGGTCGATCCACCATTGTCAAAGCGTAAAATGCACTTAATAGAGCAGAAGTAGAAGTGGTACGTCGTACCGGTCAGCCACATGTTGATCGATTTTTTTCCTTTCCTTGTTGCCTCGGCTTTTTGGGGATGTTTGGCGGGCTTTTTAACCGCGCGCGTTGTGAGCCCCCACCCCATCGGGGGAGGTGGTTGAGCCTCTGTCGGGGTTGGTCTTTGTGGCGGTTCTTTTTCCGCCTCGTCAAGTGAGTTCGTCTGCTGTACGTTACAACCCCCAGAGTATGCGTGGCCTACCGAGCCTAGACAAAGATTCGGCGTTGTTTGATGTAACCTAAGGGCACGCCGCCACCCACTGAAACCTCAGTAGTTGTCTGCAAAATAAGTTGCAATTGCTGGGATGGCAATTACGCCGGGGAAACCGGGCGGAGGTTGCAGATCCACACGCCAGGGCACGAATCGACAACTCAGAAACAAGACCCAAGCACTCAACGTGCGACGCCCGTTGGAAAAACTGGTCATATTTCTGACTTAGGCAACTCAGAGGCAGAACACTGACACCTGGGGCGTGGTACTCAGATGTCAGCTACACCAATAGGTATCTGGACCTCCGCGCCGCTCAAAAAATCCTGCGTCATTTTGTCCATAAAGCTCAGAACAAGACGCACACGGAACTTACGAAAACCGCCCAGACAGCCTGACGGCGAACATACTCGACGAGGAAGGGAGAGAACTTCCAGGTTGACCAACCCCCCCCCCCTCCACCACAGAGGCCTTATCACTTCGTCCCCCCACCCGACGAGGTGGGTGACTCACGATGCACGCAACTACATGGCCCCCCAAACATCCCCCGAAAGGCCTGGGCAGCAAGAGGAGAGAAAAATCGATCAGCGTAAGGCCGACCGGCGCGGCACGCCACTTCTATTTCTGCTCAATTAAGGGCGTTTTATCCCTTGGCAGTGGTGAGCTGACCAAGGTCTGTGACATGTCAGTACTCTAATACACCTGTTCTTGCGAGCCCTTCTTATTTCTCAAATTATCAACCCGGATCTCACAACTTTGCCAGTCTAAAGTTCCTGTCTATGTGAAATGCCCTACTCAGCTTTGGGCCTCCACTCTTGATGGTGCGGGGTTAGCGTATGGCTAAGTGGCCATTTTAGTAACGCGTTCTTTATTGACACCTCATATTTGAGTTTTGCGCCGTTTAGAAGAACGCTTTCTCCAAAACGTACAAAACTCAGAAATTAACAACAACCACCAGAAAAAGACTCAGTGAAATTCACTCAAAGATGCGAGGAAACAGACGGATGTTTGGATACATCACACATCTGTCGAAAAGGCAGTATTTATGCCCTACCAAAGGCAATGTACTACTCTAACTTTTCGATGGGATGTGTACAAAGAGTTTCAAATTTGCAGGGAACTTACGTGGGATGTACTGTTCCACACGATGGCAGGTACATCGAATTCGTGACCGAAAACAGAGCATTCGGACCCTGAATTCGAGTAATTCGTTGCAAGACGAAGCGAATCCCAAGCTTCTAGGTCACCTCCAATTGAGAATATTTACATCTATCGTAGCATGGTCCACTGGACCAGATGACATCAGTGTGGGGGGGGGCTTTTGAGCAGAACTTGTTGGCCAGTAGTTACCTCATAAGTTTGCTTTAAAATAGTCAGTACGCATTAAAATCCCTTGGAAAATCTACTACCGGAGTCATTGGGCATAAATTACTTGCTTGCTTACGGCAGTGAGTGTGTCCGGCACAGTGCTAGTGGATGCCCACCGAGAGGATCGACAAGGCATAAACGTAACCTATTGAAGTGATGGGAAATCATTGAACAATTGCCATTAGCGGACCATCAAAAAACCTCGGAGGCAAGTATGCATGACCTCCGCCTTGCCATAGCCTGAATACCACTACCACCACCACCACCACCGCCGCCGCCGCCACCACCACCCCCACCACCACCGCCGCCGTCGCCACCACCACCACAGAGGCTTACAGGCAGCAAATTCTGGACACACAGACATCAAGAAGAAAGTAGACGGCCAGCAGGCAGTTTTCAGTAAGTCATAACCTTTTTCGCCACAAAGCATCCGGCACAACTGAACTCATCACAACGCGCTAAAGGCCGTGGCTCTTAAGGATGCTGACCGACAGGTTGACTCAGTTATCCTCTGGAACGAGGGCCAGAGTGAGAGAGTTTAGTCCTAAACTGCTCTTTATGACACTTCTTACTTCTGTGAGGTCTGAGGCAGTGTGTAATCGGCAGTATACGGTTTCCCCAGGTCACATGGTCCATTGCGTCTGACCTCGCCTCTAGTCGGCCTACTGGAGAAGTCACTGGTATATAGAGAGCGGAAGAAATATTGCACCTAACGCTTAGTCTATCACTATAAACAATGAAACACGCTAACAATCAAGCCTAGGAAGGTTCCCGACCGAAGGAATAACTCGCTCCTCCAGTTGAATGAGGCGGAGACTGCAATGGCTCCTGCCAAGCGTAGTCTTTTTGACACTCACATTTTTATGAGCACCAAAACTCCCCTTCATACAACCTGGCGAGTGTGGAGTTATGGATTGAGTCGTTTGTACCACGTGTAGATAGACTGTCTGGCCCAATTCCAGCCAAGGACGCCGCCGTCAGCACGTCATGAGACCCCTTTGATTTAGGCAGCGTGGACCCAGCCCAGTCCCGGACACTTCTATCCCTCCTCCCTTACTCTCCTTCATTGTTGGAGTGTAAAAACTGTCCACTCATTGTTGCTCTTTCATAGTTCCTAATGATGGGTTCCCACACAAGTCCGAAAAGTCAGGCTAGCACACATACTGTTCCAGGGATTGTGAGTACATATTTGCAAAAAAACCTGGGACTCGCATGTTTGTTACCCCCTCTCCCCCCTACTTAAGTCCTCTTAGAACTTTTTGACAGGCAACAGACAAAGAGAACGGCCATCAAGACGATGATCTCACTCCTCTTGTGGCCAATGGGGAATTTTCTTGAAAGTAAATTGAGCTACCTAAATCAACCAAGTAGACATAGTAAAGTGAACGTTTTGGGGGTTGCAATTCCCGTGTCGCACTCTCGATTGAAAGGTTGTGTGAAACTTGGGACTGCACACGGAAAAGGAACCATCCGGCCTCACTTCTGCCTCAAACATCACTATATTCAGCTTCCTCCTAGCGCACAGGAAATACGCAAATTGGGGATGGCTGTGATAAAAAAGGAAAGATAGGGTCCAAAATCAGTCACAAACCCTGTAGGCGAAGTAGCCACGAGGGTCTGCAAAGGCGAGAGCTTTGGTGCCCTCGTCACCAACCAGCAAAACTTCCATTTCGCTCGTGGCCGGGTTAATGGCGACCGCCGGAAATCCAGGGCATTCAACACGCACAAATTTGGTCTTTCCTGGACAGTTGGGGTCCTTCTGTATAAAAACACAGCATTCCTGATTTTACGGGGTATTTTAAAGCTTTGATTAAAAAACAGAGATGGTGTACTGCGATGTTCAAAATTCTTAATTTTTGAAAATCCACTAAAATCAACGAGTGCTGTATTTCGTGAAATTTAGACACATTCCCTCACTAGCATCAATTTAATCAACCGGTCAAGTAAAAAACATAATGAGCAGCAAAGCAATCTGTATTTCCTTAAATCACCACAGGTTTCGATCTTAATCTTATTAAATATTATAAAACTGAGTCTAAATTTTACGTTTAGATATGTTTTCCGTGAAAATATACTAAAAAATGGCCAGTGGTCATGCTATAAAATCTCTTTTTTGGACTTATTCTGCTTTGATAATAAATGTTCGTCACATTTGAAGAACATTGGTTTTGTTGAAAATATGCACCTGCATTTTCCCTTGCTTCTGAGGTCTTAAGGGCAAATGACCTACATTTTAATGTAAAATAGTCTGTTTATGCTCGTAGATATGAACCATGCAACAGACTTTGTAAGAAGCATTAAGTAAACTTACAATTGCTGCCTATAACTGAGCATCTCTAAGTCCCATATTTTTAATATTTCCAAATAACTAAATAATAACTTCCTCTGGAACATTTATTCAAGACGATTCAAGTTTCTCTAAGTATATACCCAAAGTGAATTTTCGGAATTAAATTCTAAAGAGGTGAACTTATGTAGACAGCGAAAATAAAGACAAACTGTACGCCCTTTGAGTAATCATTTTTGTCCACAGATGACTGGAGATACCTCCTTGCCCGAAACCAGCATGCTACGATTTAGGGATTGAGTCCGTATAATGCTTCCGGGTTATCGGTCCTACATTCTCAACCAAATAATGCTTTCTGGTTTAGAACGTCTCAAAACGTTTTTAGTGAATGTTTCGTCTGTTTGTAATAACATATTCTCTACTTGCTAAACAGCGGATCGCCTTTATGCAGTTATGCGCTCTGAGGGGTAAAGTAGCCTTATGCGGACAAAGGTAGTCTTTTTAGACCCACTGGCTTAGCTAGACTAAGTCTCAACCACCCAGCGAAGGTGGGACGCTTCGAGTTCGAATGACTACACATATGCTCGCATGTATTCCCCCTACAGACCTTGTCGGAAAACTAATCTGACGCATAATCATCATAATGGCTCCCGACACATCGAACTCCACCGACGTGACACAGACGCGATGGCCTTGAAGATTTTTGGGAACACGGTCCGCTCAGCAAAGGGAGGATTTTCACCGCTGTGAAGGCCACTGCAAGCTACGTTCGGAGAGCATAGACACGTGCCCGCATCGGTAATGGGTGCGTGTGTGTGTGGCATCTACGACCAAAAAGCCGATCAAAACATACACCGTTCTTGTAGTAGAATGTTGTCTGCCGGGTTCCGTCCGGATGCTGCACCGTGACGCCCTCACAGCCTCCGGGGCCCTTCTCCACGCGCAGCAGATCGTCCACGAAGCGGGTGCAGAGGGTCTGTCCGCTGGAGGGGTCAAACATGCGTCTCACCTGGAAGCAGGTGGAGCCAGCTACTAACCACCTGGCGGCGGCGGCGGCGGCGGGCCTGGATTCACTCAAGAGGCCGCTGTGGATGTCTTTGCCACCCTGGTCAGTGGTCGTCTCCTCCGAGTTCTCTCGACTGGGCAAGTGGCCAGTGACCCGTTTTGCCCAGAATCGCTCGCCCGATTGCAGGGTCACCAGCCAGAGAGGGGACTTTGGCTCCCAACTGGACGACAGTTTTTCATGCAGCGGATCCAGAGCCTCCGAGAGGGAGGATGATTGCAATCGGCCTGAATGGAGCGGAGACAAGGAATGCAAAAGCGAGCGCATCAGGCATCAGGCAACAGATCCTTCTGAGGCACGGAAGTGCTTCACGTACAATAAACGAAAATGCTAAAGAAAGCGAAACGGTCTAATCCATTTCGACAGGGGAGGGATACAAAAAAAACATAATTATTGGGTTTTTTCCTTAAACAGTGGTCATTCAAGGCACCCACAGTCGCAGGAAGCACTGTGCTAGGCGCTCCCGACATTTCGAATAAAAGTCGAAGGTTTCCTAAGTGACTTATTAAATTTTATTTTAAGATTTCTGAAAGTCGTCGTGGTTAAGCAGAACGTTCGTCGGAATGTTGCGCCCCACCGATCCAACTTAATTAAGGAATACGCTTCTTCCTCTGAGGTTGTCCAGATATGGAGTTGGAAAACGACTCGCTGATCACTCCAGTCTTCTTCGTCTCTGTAAGTGATCCTTCTAAAAACATGAATTATCCAAAGGACGTGGTCAATCTCTCCTAAGCCCGACTGGGACGGAATGATCGATACGAAAAGACAAAGATTTGCCTTTTGTTTTAAGTGAATGCATGAGACGTTCATTTCGACTTGACTGTATTTTCAGCTGCCTCTGTTATTTCAAAGAGGTTAGTATTTAAAATTACAGAATCTCGTGTGATCCGCGATTCCATACTTCTGTAAATTGTAAGCTTTATCGGGAAACCCAACTTCATTTACTGTCGCTCCATCAAAGTTCACTTAAATCTGACATGTTTTCGATATCTTACGCAAATTAAGGAAAAATAAAAGGAATAATTATATTTTGCGAAAAAGTTCAAGTTTCAACGGCGTTTTGCCATGAAACCAGTGGGACTCTGACGGATTTGCTTTTTTCCTCTCGGTTAAAGAGTTTTCTCCATCTTTTAAGAGACGTTCAATCCATGTACATGTTTTCGCATAATATGGGAAGTTCCGGACAAGTTTCAAACCCTATAATCTCCATATACGTGAAATTTTGACCGAAATTCTGAAATGCCTTTTACATTAGAATTACTGAAGTTGGGGCTGCAATGTTAATTATCATACGACATTATCACATAATATGTCAGAAATCTCAAGACGCCTGCAAAATCCGCTCTCTGGGAAAAATGGCATGATAATAGTATGTGTTCTTTCTACTTATTTTCGATGTCGCGCAAGGGCATGGGTTATGGACAGGTGTACTTACTCTGGCGAGCATTTGCGTTGGGCGAAAGAACTGAACATCTAAGAACGTTGTGGTATCACAAATTTTGATTCTTCATTTTGTCATCAATTAGTGGACAATATTTTTACCATTTAATGATAATAGTAAATGAATTTAATGTACCTTTGCAGGCATTGTCAAAAAGGTATTGCATTGTCATATTTTTACTCCGATGACTACCTTAAAGCATCTCGACCACCCTTACGCAACAGCCACTGCGAGGTCTTTTTATTTCTTTCTCCGGCACGTACAAAGACATATTGCCAGTTATTTTCTTTCAGAAAAGTCGCTTTCCGTTGTAAATAACCTCGGCCGCAAACCATACCCTTGCCCGATGCCCTTTTAAATTCAAATATATATTATGGAACACATGCGTAAAGTATTCCTCCTGGTCCTAATTTAGTAGGAGATTGCTTTTCGTGACATTTTTTATTCGAGGGAGAGATATATTTACGTCTTTGAAAGTTTTTCGAATTTTCAAATAATTTGAGTCCGTTTCGCCGTTGCACTTGCGTGTAGGGTTTTCAGCCTACAGGCTGCATCCTTTTAGTGTGGGGAAACACCATAAATTTCATTATGCCATTGAGAAGATATCATAATGGGTCCATAAACTTTTCAATGAGTATGGATTGCGTCGTATACTTGTTGAAAAACATTAACGCAGAATTATAAGCGATGTCATTCTAATGAAAATTGTTCTGTACTAAAAAATCTCACAATTTAAAACTTTTAAAACCTAAGTATGCCCTTCCTTTAGATAAAAAAAGCCTGAAAGGTGATCTCCAACCACAAAGGATACCTGTGTTTATAAAGGCGTCGTAGATCAGTAAAAAACGCATACTACTTAGGTAGTCATTTTCCACTTAGTTTGGTTCTTTGCAAGCGGCCGAAAGGGAATGCATTCAACGGCCGGCGGCCTGTCTGCCGTTGGTTAAGATTAGGATCGAACATTATAAAGTCTGTGGGCCGGAGCCAACTATTTTTACTTCGCTAGTCAGCCAGGACAGTATATTAAGATTGGTTTCGTTAGAAAGCGTGCCAGATGTGGTACCCTTTGCTTGTCGAGAGAGCAGCTGAGGCCTCGCCTGCGAATTGGACTGTTTCCTAGAGGTTCTGCGCTGAGCTGGTGGATGACTGCCTTCCGAATTGGCTGCGGGCGGAGCAGGAGGAGGAGGAGCTGCCACTGAGTGAGCTGTATACGACTCAAACGAGGCGTACGAGAGTTCGGCAAACTTCGGGGGATCCTCGCAGAAGCAGAATGCTGCACGCACCGTGTCGGTCTCGGCAACACTTCCATCAGGGAAGAGGATCTGATGGGGGAAGAAGAATGAGAAGCCAGTTGTGGCAACAGTTCAAGAAGGTATCAGAAGCAGCAGAAGAATTGCCTGAATTCAAGTATACTGAAAGCAATATGATCAGTCGTTTTGCGGCTACTC